ATCTACAATATTTGAACCTGAAAATTGTTAACCTAAACAATAATTAATATTTTGTTAGGTAGCCCTTAACATCTGCCAGCCACTAATATAAATAAAATAAAAAAAAAACTAATAAAAAAGCTAATAAAAATAAACAAAGCGTACGTGTATATAAGCGTCATCAAATTTACTATCGGCAGCTTTATGATAACATTTAATCATTGTCACCTGTTCCTTTTCTAATATATTCATATTTTATTTACCGGTATTATACCGAAATACATCTACCGACTTAACATCGTTTTGACAGCGTCATACCGGTATTCGCACCATTTCGGTTTCATCAAACATCACATAATCGAATAATAACCTAAAAAATACCGGTATTTTACCAGTAATACCGATTTCGGTCTCTGGATCCGGGCCACGGACAGAGTTATACGAGCACCATGGCTTTACATCATTACTCCCACCGACACCAGCCTCTCTTTTATTACAGATTCCGCCGGAAGTTTCGCCGAAGTCCAGGTACAACGCAACGCAACGATCTCTTCTTTTATCGCCGATTAAATATATACAGGGTGGGCGGCAATTCGGTGACTCTACGTCAAAAAAATAAGAGAAAAATTTGGTATAACATTTTTTTTTTATCTGAGGCTCGGTTTGTTCATCTTTGAGTTTCTACGCAATGAATTGCCTTCGTTTTTAGAGGATGTTCCTGTATGATTTTCCAACATGACGGTGCCATATTACACGAGAGAGGTTAACAACTTTTTTAATCAAACGTATTCGTGTTGGATCGATGTTTGCCACCAAGGTCACCGAACCTCACGCCTCTAGATTTCTTTTTACGGCGGCATATCAGAGAAGAAGTTTTATAAAGACAATATTTCAAACATTACACATTTGGAGCAAAAGATTATGGAGGGATTCGAGAAATTGAAAAAAACGACATCAGATTGCATTCTGTTCAGATATCATTCGTCGAGCAACATACAGCAACGAGGAGGACATTTTCAACAATACTAATAGCGTACCGTATTATAGTATTGTAATAGAAAGTAATAATAAGGAATAAGAAAATTAATTTGTACTGTTTTAACCACACACAAATAAATAATGTTTATTAAACAATATTTCAGACGGGGACGTGATGGAAGACTGGACAACTAAGTCGTTCACAAAGATGAAACAAACTTCAAAGTCGATAATAGATTAAAAAAAATGTTATACCAAATTTTTCTCTTATTTTTCGACGTACCTTTCACCCCCTGCTCTGTTGTACTACGAATTTCGGCCCACCCTGTGTATATATGTATACATATTCACGCTTCGCGGATTCCTGAGATTCGATGAGAAAACGGAAAGAAGGGAAACAAAACCGAGAACGAGAATATTCGCGGAGAAAAGAAATAAGAAAAGAAAGGAAGAAGGAAAAAAAAAATCTCTCTTTAGACACGCGTTTCATGGACAGAGAAATGACGACGTCGATGATGATGGATCTTTTGAAACGTCAGTCATCGGAAGCTAAGAAGCGAAAGAGATGTTTGTTGGATGTTCGGCCTTTCTGAAAATGGCCCAGGGGTAAAGACCACCTGGGCCACACCGTGCACCGTCTACTTATAACAGACCAGTTGTTAGGGTCGCGATCTACCCTCGAAACGACCCCGGGGGAGGTGGCTATGCAACGTGCACGGCACACCACGTGGCTCGAACACGTGGCCGTTTATTGGCAACTGGTAAATCCTACGTTTTTCGATCGGCCACGCTCCTCGTTTCGTTTATTAAAACTGCACCCGATGTCGACTGCGTCTCTCTCTCTCTCATCCCCGATCCTTTTCACCAATTCTCATCAACGTGATTCTTCTTCCGTTTGATTACGCTTCTTAACGAACCGGGCGTATCGCGCGTTACCTATTTTGCGCGCCAGCACCACTCGATGAGCAATGTGAGGGGGGAAAAAACGGAGGTTTAACGAACCTCCTTTCCCTCCCGGACGATCAATCTGAATTCTAAATTAACGGGTATTATGTGCAGATGAGGCGATAGCCGAAGAAGTAGTATGTATCACTGTCGACGAAGTATGTATCACTGTCTATTAGCCGAGTTACTTTCGAATTCAAAAGCGGCTGAAGTGAAATGACTCGGCTAATGAGAACGGGCCGAACGAGATAAGAGCTCCGCTTCTGTCTCGCGCGTATGTCTGCTCTATGCACGTTTATGTTAAAAAAAAGTGAAATGTTTCTGTTTCTCTGCTGTCGGTGAGGAAGGAAGATCGAATTCAAAAGTGGTGCGCCGATTTCCAATGGCTCGCCAATTAAATTTGCGTGCAACTGCTATCGCGACAAATAACGAAGGAAGCAGTCTTCGCGAGCGAGGAAGATTCTAACGAGCCACGCTCTCGTTCCCTCCTTTTATCAGAATCGCGATAAATGCCCGTAATAAGCTCTTATCATCAATCACTCTGACAGCCTGATAACTCACTCCCATTCACAGAGATACCAGTTCCCGCGTCTTTCTCGAGCCTTTAAACGATCCACATTCCCCGGCCGTGCACACGTAACGAAAAACCGTTCTCGATAAAATCGTTCGTTCCTCTCGCCTCGGCGAATGAAGTCAACCACGAGAGATCGACTCTCCTCGTGCACGCAGGATTTTTCGTATTTCACGGAGAGCTATACTACACGTGACTCGATCGTCCAGCCAAAGAGAATCCTTCCAGCTTAAACTTCGTGTCCAGTGCTCGAAAGTCGAACCACGGTTTGTGACACGGTTCGTGGACATTCTCGGGCTCCATTCATTCGAACCGGTTATTTCTAGAAAAGAGGTGGCTGAATGAAAATCTGTCAACCCACGTGGCGAAACGCGTGGCCAATGACCGCCTCCGACCTCGACGCTCGGCTTGGCTGCTTTCCGTCCATTCCGGACCGAACCTCACTCGGGCTCTTCCTTTCGAATACTCAGATTTTTCTTCACTCGGATCCATCGTTTCTCTTTTCCTTTTTTTTTTTTGTTTTTTGTCTTTTTTTTGGTCGTGGTTGACAAGGGAGAAAATCGGAGTGACTAACCCTCAAGTAGCGTCGATGTTGAAATTATTCATTGCATCTTCTATTTTTATATTTTAGGAAATTATTCCTAAAATATTCCTGCAGTAATAAATTCCTTCAGTAACTAATGTTGATGAATGAACGAAAGATGATACTGGAGTAGGAGCTATTATTGCTATTCGCGATCAAATAAAAAGGTTGTGCACTTTTTGTAAAAACTATTAGATAGAAAGATTATTAACATTTATATTATTAATAATATAGTTATAGTTTTATTAACATTTATATTATTAATAATATAAATAATAATTTAAATGTTAATAATTTATCTATTTTATAAATCATTAAATTCCATCTTCCAAACGTCCTCAATAATGAAATAATTATTAATAAACCTTCTATCACCCAAATGATTTAAAATAACTGTTATTAATTCAGAATTAAATGAATTTAATTTATTACAATAAGCAATTAAACAATATGAAATTAATTCTAATCGATCACGTCCTAATATAATTGTTCTATATTGATCTGTGTTATATGTTATTAAAAATTATCGATGCGATTGAATTGTAATTATTGAAAGATCAAATTCAATTATTCTTGCTTTATCGTGTTAGTAATAAAGAATTTCAAGTGTGACTGAACTAACCGTCAGGCAGTGTCGATATCGAAATTGTTGAAACGTTGATGTAATTGTATGTAAAAAATTATTGACGCGATTGAAATAATCAGTGGAAAATTAAAGTTCAATTGTTCTTACTTTATCGTGCTAGTAATAAAGAATTTCAAGTATAACAAAAATATAATGGAACAATAGGCAAGAAGGAAAATAGAGAAATGAAACTTGGGAGCGATCTCGGACAAATCGGACAGATTCTATTTAATTTTTCTCGAATCCAGTCTGAAAGAGTTCACAGCCAAAATATCTCTCTTAACAAAATCAATTTTCACGCGCGATTAAAATCGTTCGAGTTTTAATTTCCGCGTGTTTTTCACAACCGATTACGAACCTCCGCGTTCTGAAACGACCGAAAGATCGTATCTATCCTTTTGTTACGTCGTCTTGAATTTATTTTACGCGAACTGTAAATAATCCTCGCGCCTAGGAATAAGGCTATCGACGTCTCGATGATCTTTTTACGACGAGCACAGTCGTTCCTTCTTCCCAACTAACCAGGATTCTTTTCTAATCTCTCTGTATTTTCTCTCTCTCTCCCTCTGTCTCTGTCCTCGCGATCGGTTCCAGAGCCACGAAGGAAGAATCGATGCCTCGATGCTCGGCGTCTCGAACGAATAGTTAGCGCGTAGGGCACACACGACGCCTGACCTGAATTCCACCAGCAGCACGATAGACGAACCGATTGCGTAACGCACACGCGTGCGTTCGTGGACCTCGCATTTTCGCGCTTCGCGTTGATCCCTGAAGAAAAAAAAGAAAAAAAAAAAAAAGAAGAAAGAGGGAGGGAGAGAAAAAGGGTTGAACGAACGTCAGTCGGTAACTTGGAACTATGCGGTG